GCGGGTTCTCGCCCAACGTGAGTGCCATCCTGGGGCTGCCGACCAGGCGTGAGAAGGGCGAGGCGGGCCGCACCGTCCGGCGCAACAACAACACCGACTCGCTGTGGATGAAGAAGTCGTCAGAGGAGGAGATGTCCAGCGAGGGGGGCGGTGGGCCGACCACCACGTCGGCTGGGCCACGCGCGGCCGAGACTAGCAGTGGTAGTGGTGTGGGGGATGACGAGGGCAAGAAGGGGGCTTCTCGCGGTGCCAAGGGGGCTGCAGCATCAGCATCAGCCGCAGCAGGGTCGGCTCGCGAGCGGCCGTGGGATCGGCCGGCGGGTTCTAAGTGGGTGGCCAAGAGCGACGGGACACCCAAGGCCACGTCGCCATCGTCTGTGGCGGACGGGGGCGAAGCTGATACCAGCAATACGGACGCTTGATCCGTCCTTGATACCCAAAGGCGTGCGCCATCTAGTCTATATGTAAGTGAAGTGCAACGACACAACGACACAAACCAGCCACTGGCAGTCCAGCCGCTTTCATGGTCTTTGTGTGTGCGGTGTCAGGCATGTGGTGTGACTGATGTACTGCGTACTGAGCGTCTCTCCTCTTCTCGTCTCGTCTCGTCTCGTCGTCTTTTTGACCATGTTTTTGCCTCAGGCGTCCGCCACGGAGCCCACGCGCTCGCGCATTCATTGATTCTTTCGACACTAGGGAACTCTCTCTACACTACTTGCTCACTGACTACTACTACTACACACCTTTTCTACCCTGCCTCTTAACTGCCTGCTTGCCTCTCTGCTCATCTCTCCCTTCCTGCCTGTGTGTGCCTGTGTGTGTGTGTGTGTGTGTGTGAATCCATCATATGTCCGTAACGGTATTTGGTCTCAATTAAGCATGGCAAGCCGGACAGCAGCCAGCCAGCCGACCGAGCACAAGTGCAAGCCGCAAAGCAAGGAGGGCGGACAGGCCAGCCCTGTTCTCCCGTCCCGTCCGTCGATTTTCTTCTCAGTCTCGCCTGCCCATCTGTCTGTCTAGCATCGCTGCCTCCCTGCGACGGTCGGGGTGGTGGGTGTGGCGGGCGCAGGCAGGGGCGAGTGCCTGCCTGCCTGCCACGGTGTGGTGTGGTGTGGTGTGTCTGTCTTTGTCTAGACGGTGTATGTGTGTGCGAGGGCTTATACAGGTGCTAGAGGCAGCGAGACGTATCGGCTTGGTCGGCTGGGCCCATTACTTTCCTATACATTCAACCTGCGTGCTTATGTATCCATGCCTGTCTGTGCGTGAGTGTCCATCCATGGATGAGTGAGTGAGCGGAAGACATAATGCATATGTGTGCATCGGATTGCGGGGCGGGAGTGGTGGGTGGGGGAGTGGGGGTGGGCGGGTCCCTCTCTCTCTTTCTAGCCTCCTCGTCTCTCTCCCTATTCCATCTGCCCGACCGCCCCCAATGCACGCTGCGTCTGTTGTCTGTCCACGACATACCCATGTCCTTTTCTTTCTTTTCCCCCCTCCCTCCTAAGGTTCTTTGCTGTAGGCGTGGCGTGGCGGCGGCCGCTACTCGCCACCTCTCGAGTAGCGGTGCTGCCCGCCACTGTCTGTTTCGTTGAACGCCTTCCCTCCCCGATAATGCCTGGCTGGCTGGTTGGCTGCTGCTGAATGAGTGGGTGAGAGGGGGCGGGCTGCTTGCTTTGATAAGAGGGGGCTGGGTATGGTGAGCTGCTGTGTGTTTGTCTTGACCTGCAATTGATGATCGGCTGCTGTTCTGCATGACTGCTTGCTTGAATGGTTGTTGAAGAAAACCGGCTGGCTGAGCGAGTCGAATGCCTGCCTGCCTGCCTCCTAACTAACTGACTGACTGACTGTTTCTTGCCTTAATTGTCCAAAGCTTTATCGACGTGAGGCTCTCACGTACGTGTCTGCCTGCCGTGCACTCACTGCTGTGCGCCGTGCCGCCCCGAATCTGCAGTGGGGGGCGGCACGGCGAGTGGGGCCATGGTCGGTGTGATGTGGGGATGGGCTGCTGGGTGAGGGGGACCGGTGGGTGGTGTCTTGTTGACGTGGTGCGGTTGATCCACTGTACTTTCTCGCCGGTGGTGCTGTGTTGTGCTGCGTGTGGTGCATGGGACCTCCATGTGTGTGTGCCATACTGACTATGCTATGCTATGGTGTGGTGTGGTGTGAGCTGCTGTGTGAGAGGTGAGGTGAGCTGTGTATCTGCGCCTCCTTTTTTTCTGTAGCGGACTGACTGACTGTGAGCGAATCTGAAGAGAGAGAGAGCGACGCCCGTGGGGCTGGACGATAAGAGCGCTGGGGACCGATATGACGCTACGCTACGCTATGCTATGCTTTGCCGTGCCATTGGCCTAACACAGACAGACATCCACCACACGCAACCAACCACGGACTAACTGGTTTCTGCCGATCCACACACATATGCACTCACTCGGTTGCCTATCCTTCTCTGCCGCTCAGCTGCCTGCCTACCTTTTGACCTGGCTGCCACTGCGGTGAATTGCACACGGTGCCTTGCTGATGCCCTCACTCTATTTTGGATCGTCGCCCCCACACACACGCACCCGACAGAACAGATGACGCGACTGACAGAGATGGACAGTGGGGGGGCGGGAGTGAGGGGCAGAGGCGATGAGAAGAGAAGAACAGACGAGCCCACGAGACCAGCCAGCCAGGATCGATCAGCCAGCTGGTGCTGCACTTAGCTTATGTACTGCATGCCTGCAATGCGTCCACCCGTCGCCCTCTCGCTGCCTCTCTGCCTGCCTGCCTGCCTGTGTCGGGCGGCTACATTTGTCAAAAACCCATATTGTGCTCACTGCCTGGTCATGTGAAGAATGACGATACCACCCAGCCAACCAGCGGCAAGTGCCATGCCACCGTGAGGGCCGGTCTAGCCAGAAAGACAGAGAGGCTACTCCCACATGATAGGGGCCGGCCTACCGTGTCGTCGCCTCTGCACATTCATTGTGTGTGTTGGCATCGTGGCACGTCAAGTCGACTCACACACAAGCGTGATGGCGGCAGAAGGAGAGGGGGCTGCCGCCCTCCTCAGCATCGACCCCTTTTGACTTGGCTGGCTTGCTTGCTCATGGGCCGAAGTGACTTGCTCCATGCGAACGCACTGCCTGTCTGTCTGTGTGATGCATCCGTGTGTGATGTGCATGACCGCATGTCTGTGTGTGTCTCTGTCCGTGTGTTGTGGATTTGGACCATGCACCGTTGGACCACACACATCCCTCCATTCAAACCTTTAAGTGTATCTCTGTCTGTCTCACTGGCGGCGCCACGCGCGGGCAGCCATATTCATTTGTGCCGACTTCCAGCCATCCGGTCAGAAACCAAGTGCTTGGGCAGTCACACATTCCTGCATCGACCATCCATCACGTTTGGTGTATCTTGTTCACCAAGAGGCCGTGCAGTCAGTTGGTGTCTCACGCCGCCTATTTGATCTTCGCCTTGATCTCTTTCATGTGCCCCTCCATCCTTGCCTCCATCTCCGCCTGTCGTCTGTCCATCTCCGTCAGCCGCTTGTCCATCTGCTTTTCCGTTTGTTTCTGCTCTGTCCGCACCTCCGCGAGTTGTGTCCGCATCTCCCGCAAGGCTGAGGGGCAAAGAAATGAATGGGCTTCCGAAGAAAAAGAGTGCTCTGCCGTGTACTGCCTCCCTGTGGGTCCTGTCTCACCAGCCATGACATCAGGCACGCTCGAGTCGTGATGGTCGGCCGCCTCAATCCACTTGTCGATGCTGTCCTTGAATTTGATCCGTGCTTTGCGTCTCTGATCAGCCATCTCCGAAATGTCAGTTCCGGTGGCGCCAAAAGAAAACAGCCCCTACCCGAGAGAAACGAGACAAAGCCATTGATTGTCTCATGTGACTTGTCTTAAGTTGACCCTCACTCGCTGGGCGTATTGGCACAGAAGAAAAAGTGACATCAGGAGGATGACAAGGGGTATGACCAGTACCTCCCAATAGTTCCCTCCCCGTATCAGTCGTGGGAGACGCTCCAGCACTTTGTAGATGGCCACGGGTGTGAAGGCGACGGCGAAAAGGAGTCCGTCGACGGTAAAGTACAGAGCCACCATCGACCAGAAGGCAATGCGGCAGAGTGCCGACTGATGTCGCCGTTGTTCGCTGATGAGGGAGGCGAGATACCGCAGGGGCTCCGACACGACCACAGCTGCACACACACAGATGCCCACATGTGACGGATGCATTTCATGACTCTTGTGGCACCGACCGATGAGGTTGAATGGCGACGGCAGTCGCTCGTGGTGCGGCATTGTCAGATACTCATTCAACACGCGAATACGCAGCAGCCTGCGGAGATGAGCGGAGAGAGGGCCATTATGTGCCGCTGTCTGTCTGTCTGTCTCCCTCGTCCCTGATACTGATATTGTGCAGCCTGTGTCTCCTCGATGGCCGAATACGTCGACGCCTGACATACACAGAGAAAGATTGAACAGCCACATGGCCCACTCGATTTCCCTTGTATCTCGTGTCTGTCTCACCATGATGGCGATGAGCAGGTTGAGCTATCGATGGATGCCGGCAGACACAAAGAGAGACAGGGACAACAAAGGGAGTCCTTGTGTGTTGCTGAGAGAACGAGTGGTTTCGACGTACGAGTATGATGGACGAGAGGATGACGTAAGTGAACAGCAGGACGGCCCCCAGCGTGTCGTGGCTCTCTATGGCGTTGGTCAGCGCCTCGTTGAACTCACCGAGACCCGCGTAGAAACTGCACAGCACAACAAGACAGAGAGAGGCAGGTGTCCCTTTCCTCTGTGTCTTCTCATGAGGTCCCATGCGCACAGAGTGAGTGTGGCTTTGGGGAAGGAGCCGAAGTACTGGTGGTCTTCGTCGGACGAGAGGACGGTGAAGACGCCCGCGAAGACCAGCAGGATGTAGACGTACAGACACAGAAACATGCTGATGTCCGAAAACATCCTCACAACCGCACTGACACACACACACCACACACAGCATCAGACGCCTCTCTCTGTGTGTCTGTGTGGCTCCCTTTCACTGACAGTATGAGTGGCCCCACGGTTGGCTGCAGGCTGGCGGTTTGCAGGAGGCGCAGCGCAAAGAGCAGCGCTATGACGATCAATGAGCTCACTTCCGCCTCGGCAGAGTAGCCCAGGAAGTGGACGGCAATAAAGGCAGTGATCGCCAGGCTTGAAGACATGTCGATGACATTCCTGTGCAGTGATGTATGCCATAAAGATGAGGTCGCCAGTATGGTTGTCTCTGCATTTCGGACTCGTACCATGAGTCGGCCCAGTAGGCTGCCTTCAGGCGGACGCCCTGCAGACACACAGAGGGGATGTCGTCGTTTCTCAGTCATGTCTCCCGATCTATCTCACTTGGAAGGCCTCCTGAATCACGAAGCCGATGCCGGTCAGCACTGCCCCCCACAGCCACACCGACTGGCCCATCACGGCACTCTCAATCACGCCGCTGTCTCCTCTGATCGACTCGATGTGCAGCAGCACAAAGGCCACCCTGCAACACACACAGACAAGAGGTGCCATGCGCTTTCTCTGCCTCCATCGTGGTCCATGTCTGTCGTCTTACATCAGCAGCATTGACAGCACGCGGGTAATAAAGACATCACGGGGTGCAAACTGAATCCCAAAAAAGTCAGTATGTGGTGGTTGCCAGTGCTTTGTGACGAGAGAGATGCAGTTGGCTGTAACAATTATTGGCAGAAGGACGACGCCATGAGCGGATCGACAGCCAAAAGGGTGAGGTCTCTGTGTTGGCTACCTTGAGTCACTACTGTCAGGGGCTCCGCAGATTCGAGCAGCGCAAACCACTCTCTCTCTTTGCCCTTAAGTGAGTTTCGGAACAAGTCTTCGTCTGTATCGCTGCAGAAGTTAGCCGTGAGAGCCTGAACCGATTGGATAATCACACGCAGAAGCAGAGGACGCCTGTGTGTGTGTGGAACATTTACCTCGTTCCAGCCTGCTGTCTTCTCTAAATCACTGCACACAAAACAAAAGGGGAAAAAGGTGCAGACTCGCATTGTGCTCCGATTCTCTGTCCAACTCACTCTGTGAGGGAGTCATTCTGCCGAGACTTAATCAATCGGCGGAAGGTAGAGCACCAGCGGAGACTGTCGACGCCCAGCGAATCACATCGCCTCAGGCACTGTCCTAAGCCGTATTTCGCGTAGGGGACCGCTTTGGGAAGGAGCTCTGGATCCTGCAGCACGCTCTCGAGCTTCTCGTCATCTGTCCCCAGGAGCTCCATAGCGACCGCCCCAGCCACGGCAAACATCGCACCAACGAATTTTGGGTCGTTTGCCCTCACATAGGTTTCCTCGAGGGCAAAATCGAGAGGCGTCCTTCCGTACTGTCAGAGTCACATAACCAGGGACAATACCGAGAAATACCTCGGCGCAGTGCAGCGTACATTGTTTTTGATCCTCAAGAGCTGTGGGTTCACCCTTAACATCCACTCCACCACATCGACATGGCGATTCCCTGCAGGAGAACACAAAGAGACACGTTGAAGACTCATGCCCTTGTGGTTGTCATTTGCAGAAGTGAATGACATGCTGCCCGATGAAGAGGCGTCCAGCCATCCTACAGACACAAAATGGAGAAGACATCTGTCAGCTGTTCAATGCACCAGTCGACATTCCTTTATCCTTACGTTGTCCCGAGCCTCCAGCAGTTCCTTTCCGCCCCACTCGACAAACTTCTCCACAACACCAACTGACCCTTCTCTTGCTGCCAAGTGAAGAGGCGTGTTGCCACCCTACAGACACAGCATGAGGGCAGCAGTGAAGACATCGGTCGGCTGATGAGTAGAATCAGTGTAATTGTCGAGCACGATACCCCATCTTTCAGGTTGAGCAGGTGGTGTCGGTTGTGCAGCAGCACCTCAAACACCGCCACAGACGAACTTCGCCCTGAGGAGCACACACAGGGGCCACTCAGCTGCATCATCATGTTTGTGTCGTGATGCGAAGAGGCGTACCTGCGGCGTAATGGATGGCAGATTCTTCGTTCCGGTAGCCGTATCCAGTCGTCAGCACTTTCTCGGTTTGCTCAGGCAACAGACCGTCGAGGGCCTTCCGCAGGTCCTCCGCATCTGACGCATCGATGGCTTTCTTGATGCTGTCTCTCAGTGCATCTGTCGGTTCCCACTCGTCGGCGGCCGGGGCGCCCACCAGGGGGATCTGCAGACGACGCACAGACGTCCGAGAGGCCTCAGAGTCGACTGACACCAACACACCTGCTCGAAGCGTCTCGGTGCCTTGGTGATGTCATCGGTGACGTCGGGCAGCTGGGGCTCCGTCAGCCCTTGGCCATCGTCCTGCAGGAGAGGAATGTGCTCACTCGAGGCCGACGCCATCTGCAGTGGACAGACGCACACAGACACCACTCGTCAGAGGCAGCCGCTGGTCACTGTGCCACAAGGGCATTGCAGGGTGACCTTGGGATGGTCTGTCTGTGTGTGGTGGATGGCCTGCTGTGCGGCAGCGTCGCCCTCGTCGACTCTCGGCAGCTGGATGTAGCACGCCTCATCAACACCACTGGGGCGGCTGTGGCCGTCTCGCACACTGCCGCCCCCCCGGCCCTGCACACGGGGGCTGCGCTGCGTGTGCAGCAAACCCTACATCTTTGCCACACGGGGTCTCCTGGCGCGAGACGCCCACCCCACAACTGGGGCCCCCAGCTGCACGTGCGAGCTTGAAGTTGGATATGAGCAATTAGGCCTCTTCCCTGCCTTGCCGTGCCTTATGTGTGTGTGGACTCCCTCGCCGGCTAATCGTCATTGGGTGCAATACACACAAAGGTATCTGCCGCCTCTCTCGTGTCTCTAGTGGATGTGTCCTTGTTCATCTCCGCGGGCCTGTGTCTCGGTGTGTCACCTGTAAGCCCGCCTGTGTGTTGATGTGTGTCGTCGGACTGGTGTGAGTGGTCGATTTATGGAGGACAGACTTAACTAGTGCATTTGAGTATACCAACGAATGCATTCAATGGGTGAGACAGCGAGTGGAAGATCAGTATGCAGTGGTCAGGTCAGTCTGTCAGTCGCGCAGCGCCAGCTCCCTGAGCCGCCTCGCTTAAGCTTTACGACACCGTCGGCACGCGAGATCGATAAGCCACCCTCCTGGGCCATCATCACAACACACCCAGACAGACAGACAGGCAGACAGACAGACACCCTCGATGAGCGCACATGAAGTATACACCGTTCTGGATGGGCCAGATTTGCTTCAACGCACATCAAGTCCGTCACACAAAAGTCCCTCAAGCTCACAGATCTACAGTGTCATCAGCTCCTCGGTCCTCAGTCAGATCAGCTCATGATGGCTACCCTGGGTCGTCAGCCACACCGGCTGGCGACTGCCGTGGTGTACTGCACTGCCAGCACCTTGATCAACAGGCGCGACAGCCACCCACGCGACGCCGGCACTGGCGGAATGCCCCTGCACACCACACACAAGGCGCAGGTCGGTGTTTGGTCACTCTGGCCGTCGGCCGACTCACCTGTATCGCTCGTCGATGAAGCGCACCATACTCACACAGCTCGTCCCTCTCTCGGTGGCCGCCAGGTGTTCCGGGACGACGTCATGGCCCTCGACGGTGTGCTCGAGCTGCACCAACACAAGAGAGAGCCATCACGTGTGCTTGACGTGTCTCAATGACCCGATGGATCTGACCCGCCCCGCCCCGGCTGACGCACCTCGGAGGGAAGCCCGAGCTTTTCGCTAACACACGCCACCAACTCACGGACCACCTGCAGAGCCAAACACACACACACACACACACACACACATGGATGGACGCATTGACCTCTGCTCAGGGACTCACCTGCAGAAAGGGCTGGTAGGCGCCCGGGACGACGTTGAATGCGAGAGGCAGCCCGCGCAGCGTGGCTGTTCGGTGGGAATGGACGGGCAGTCTGAGTGTGGCCGCCCACACCCGAGCTGCGCCGCCATCCGCACCGACAGTGTCCACAACCGCCGGTCGCATCTCCAACACACCCCTGACAGACATGGCCCACCACCACCATCCGCCGGCCCATCCAGCTATCCGGTGTGTCTGTGTTGTGTGATCACCACTGTTTGGTTTGCTCGTGCATCAGCGGGACAATGAGAAGGGGCGGTGAATCGCTCTCCTGCGATGCTGACGCGCTCAACGGCCCACCGGCAGAGTCCCACTGTGCCAAAGTCGACACCTGAAGTCACATGGATGTGTGTGTGGATGAACCTTAAGATGCGCTGAGGGGCTTACGATCTCATCGACGATGCGCTGTTTGTCCCGAAGGTCCCACTCCATTACCAGCCCCTCCCTTGTTTCGCTCTCGTGCACACCCCAATCCACCAGGGCCGTGTCGAGGATCCTCTTCTTGCTGCCGACCGACGGCGGCTCTTGAGAGACTGCACCTTCCAGACCAACGCCTCTTGCGTAATGGTCTTGCGTGATGGTGGCGTCGGGGAGTGCGCTGGGGCTGCGGGCGATGAGGTGCAGCAGACGGTCCACCACCTGCAGAAAACGCAGACATCATCACCGAGTGTGTGATGTGGTGTCTGCTGATCGACTGGCCCTTACCTGTTTGTCCGCGATGTCGTTGAGTATGTTCTCGATGTCGTGCCTCGTTGCGGCATCGACAGACTGCACGCATCTGCAGCAACGGCCAGCCAACCAATCAGTCAGCAACCATCCACCTGTTCTGTTCTGTTTTGTCGTGGCGCTCTCCCTCACCTCTGCACCTGTGCGAGCCGCTTTTCCACTGCCCCATCGGTCAGCAGCCGGCTGTCCAGGGCATACCGCTCGCAGATGTCACCATCGCCCTCCCCCCCCTCCCCTCTCAGCCCATCGACCAGTTGATGGACCTCCTCTGACGTCACCTTGATGAACCAGCCATCATCCCCGTCGTCCACCGCCATTGGCGCCGGCCCATCGCCATCGGCCCCTGCTGGCGCTGCTGCTGCCGCTGCAGCTGCTGGCTGGCTCTCCTCCTCCCGCTTCTCTTCCTCCTTCTCTGTCTTGGTCTGTCGCCTCGGCTGGGAGGCCTCCCGCGGTGTCTTGCGCCGCCGCTTGGGGCCATACGCTGACGGCGATGGGCTCGATAGGTCCCCATCGCCACCTCTGAGGTTCTCGTCGCCTTCCCCTCGCACGGGAGTGGATGGCCTGCTGCCGAAGGGTCGCTTGATTCGGCTCATGATGGACGAGATGATGCCGGGGCTCTTGCCAGCTGTTGCCGGAGGACCGGCAGGCTCCTGCTGACCATCCTGATCGTCTCCTTGCTCCACTGGCGCCATGTCTTCATCCTCGGCTGCCGCAGCAGCGGCAGCATGAGGCTGAGGGTGCTCTTGTGCTTTGATGGCTGCTTGTGGCGGGAGCTCCTCTGTCTGGGCAGTGGTGCCACGGGTGTCTGCAGACAGACAAGGATACGCACGTGGGCCGATGAGGATCGATCGACAATCCGCCCCTTTCCCTCCTTTGCGTACCCGTCCGAGGCGGAGTGGGCCATGGCGTAGGGCGGCTTCCCACCGTGACTTGCGTGGACACACCGCTGCGCAGTGCCATCCTGGTCACGGCCTCCACAGCCTGCTGCAGCGAGCGGTCGACCCGCTCAAAGTCCGCATCAACGGGCAGCTGCTGCCCCACCCACGACGCGTCGTCCCACTCGGCCACGAAGCGATGCGCGTCGGCATCCCACCTCACACGCCCTCGACGAGTGGTGAAGCGAAATGAGCAGCGGCCGAGGAGGAGATTGGCCTTCTTTGTGACATCATCTCCGACTGTGGGGAAGGTGCCCTGACCCCAGTGGCTCCGTGCTGCACCCTCACTCGAAGCTGGACGTCCAGCGTCCTCCTCGCCACCGATGCATTGCTGGTAGTCTCTGTCCTCGCGGAAGATCTCCACCGCCCGCCCCCTGTGGATCTCTGTGACAGCTGAGCGTGGGGGCGGCTCGGCGTATCCCGGGATGGGCCCGGTGTCGGGAGGGGGCGGGAAGGCGCTGTGGCTGAGAGGGAAGGTCCGCCCTTCGTGTGTGTACTGGGTGTGCTGGTCTCTCTTGGCCTCGGGGGCGGGGTCTGTGGCGGTGTCGACTGATGGGGGTGGAGGGATGTCGGGGCCGCTCGCCACCGTCGGCCTCTTGTTCTTGTAGTAGTGGACATACGTCGAGTCCTGATGCACACACATACCAGGTGACACACAGACCAGCACATGACATGTTGCTGAATCGAGCGGTTTCATCGTTCAATGACACGCACCCTGCTAATGCGGTCGAGCAGTTGCCTCATGTATCTGCCGCCATCGTCCTTGACCTCCACCGGAATCTCCACGTTGATCACACGCCTGCAATGACAGCCAAGCGCCACAGTCACATCCTTCGATGGGCAGCTTTTCCTCTGCTTACGTCACAGTGTGTGGCTCCATCATGCTGATGTCCTGTGAGTGTCCTCGCAGCCGTGCGATGGCTCCTCTCAGGCAGGCGATGAAGCACTCGAAGAAGATGAAGCAATCTGAGAGATGCGCACCGAGTTGGCCGATGAAGCAACCGGAGCGCCCTTTCTCTCTCTCCCCTTCCCTTCCTTTCTCATTTGCTTGTGTCAGAAGTGCAAGTCGGTCCAGGGTTTAGGGTCTAGGGTTCATAGACCGACGATCCACTGATCTGTGAGACAGGACGGCTGTTGAGTCTTTGTCCGTTCCATGAGACAGGCCATGGCGGACAGGACGTCAGACAGGATGGACTGACGCATACTACATGTCCTACGTGGACTCTCCACAAAATCCACAGACCTTACGTTGCATTGACTTAATCCTTTATCCGGGACTGACCGCCCGGCAGATCCTCTCTTCACCGTTCTCCCCGACTCTCTCCCCCCTATTCTTACATGGGCGCAGCAATCTGGTTTGTCTTTTCCGCCTGATCGGCAGTTGGGCAGATCCTAACAGGTCTGTCTATCATCCGCCTGTCGGCAGTCTGTCTGTGCAGCAGCC